GAAAGAAGAGGAGTGAAGGAAGGAAGGAAGGAAGGGGAGGAGGAGGAGGAGGAAGGAAGGAAGGAAGGAAGAGGAGGAGGAGGAGGGGGAAGGAAGGAAGGAAGAGGAGGAGGAGGAGGAGGAGGAGGAGGGGGAAGGAAGGAAAAGAAAATAGAAGTTTGAAGGATCCTACACATATGGGGCTTTAAAAATAGTTGTCAGAAGCTCTGAAGTAGAATCAAAAGTAAAGAAGACATCATAAGAAGAGTAGAAAAGCGGAGCAAACTGAATAAAGTCTTAGATTGAATTCTGAGAAGAAGAAATAAATGAGAAAAACTCAGACTAAATGAAAAGAAACTATGACTGTCAAGTTGTGTAGAATGGTTAAGAGAGGATATTTAAAGGAGACATGGGGTAGAATGAGACAGACATTATTACCCTGTATACATGTATGATTATGATTACACTACTGGAGTAACTCTGCACCAATTACAGCCAGAGGAATGAGAAGTTGTGCTTAATTTGTGTGCAATGTATCAAAATGAATTCTACTGTAAATTAATTAATATAATTAATTTTAAAAAGAGAAACATTGGGAAGAGATGGGGTCAGAAGAGTGGAATGGAAAGAAGAAAATCTGTAGGATGGATATTTTTTTATCTCCCCTTTTCCTAACTAAAAACAGGACTGATGAAACATGGTGAGGGGAGTTCAGCTGTCTTATTGTAGAGGGCAAATTTTGCAAACAGGAACTGATTGTTCCTTTAGGCTTAGTCATGTCTCTAGAGATTCCATGTCTTGGTATAGAGTTTAAGAACTTCTAGAGGGTTAATTGGGGTGAGCAGTGTCAATGGGATTGGACTATTAAGCCTCTATAGTGGAAGCAAGATGGAAGTGGGACTAATATCTACTGTATTCATAGGCAAGGAAGGAGAATCCTTTGACAGGAGAAATCCATGGAAACAACAGGGGCTTTATTAAATAATTAAACTAAAGCCTCTTCCTTTCTGTTGCCTCATTTTCCTTACTTTGTTTTGGTCAGCAAAAGTATTCAAACTTGTATCATCCTT